TAGTGTGAGGAAAAGGGAGTTCAGGTTTCTAAACTGAAGTTCACACAGACTGGAGGCTACAGGATGAAGTACAGTGAGAGAGGTTTTCTCATCACCTTCATCTGGGAGGTGATGAGAAGCCTCAAAAGGCCTCTGAAGAGTGAGTACAGTGATTTGTTTAAAACATTTTTCCATGTAAAATGACTTTAGCTTCAGAATATTTAGGAATGGAGTAACCGGAAGTCATTTTGGGAGGAACAAGTTTGGGTGTAAATAAACAAATACGAAGAAAAGTAAAGGAGTGAGGGGCTGGCCCCGTGGCCGAGTGGTTAAGTTCGTGCGCTCCACTGCAGGCGGCCCAGTGTTTCGTTAGTTCGAATCCTGGGCGCGGACATGGCACTGCTCATCAGACCACGCTGAGGCAGCGTCCCACATGCCACAACTAGAAGAACCCACAACGAAGAATACACAACTATGTACCGGGGGGCTTTGGGGAGAAAAAGGAAAAAATAAAATCTTAAAAAAAAAAAAAAAAAGTAAAGGAGTGAGCTAATACATTAGTTTGGGCTATCAGGGAAATTACAGACCTGGCCTGAAGGACGGATTTGGTATGTAGGTGTCATAGGGTAGACAGGGTGGGATGGGGAGTGGGAAGTGGTGGAGAATGACAGATTAAGTGAAGCTGGAAAGAAGGGTTCATCCTGAATAATTAACCAGTGACTGCATGGTGGAAGGGTGAAGGAATAGCAAGGAAGCTTCTAGTATATTACTATTTAGGGAACAGATGGAGAAAGGTCCTGTAAATAATACCAGTTTATATGAAGAATAACACAGTGTTCCGTAGATTCCTAATGCTGCATTCTGCCTCTGTCTCAGGTGGTGTCACCAAAGGATTCTTTGTAGAAAAATTTGGTAGCAGCCTTTAGTCATTAATTTTAAACATGAGTACCTTCAAAACATTTCCTACTCTGAATCACATTTTGGGGACAACTGAGGTGAAATCTTTGAGGTTTCACTGATGATCTATGCCAAAGAACAATATACTGTAGAGAGCCTCAACTCACCCTTATTTTTGTAAGTAAACCTCAGTAAGTGACAGGTCCTGGGCAAACCTTGCTCTCCAAACCCTTGACCTCTACGAAGGCTTTCTCTGATTGGATCAGCTTCCCAGAAGAAAGGTGGAACCTGGATGCTTGTCCTTCAAGAATCAGCTTAGCTATGACTTTTTCTGGAAAGCCTTTCCATATTGCCACAGATGCTCCTCAATTGTACTTGCTCTGCACCCCCAACTACAACAGTTACCATACTGTAATACAACACCCAGGTCTCTCTCTTGCCAGACTGAACTCTTCATGGCCTAGTTTTTACCTTCTGTTATTCCCCAGCACCTTGCAGAGCACTGAGCACAAGGTAGGCCGTTAATACAAGTTTACAGGCTGTTGAACCAACATGTCTGAAAATATATGTGAAATAGACATACCATCCAGAAATTATCTAGAGAGAATAAATCTAATGGATTTTTAAAAAGAAGAATCTAAAGTGAATTGTAGTTGCCTTTGGGGTAAGGTCTTAGTTTGGTACATAGTTCATAGCCTTTCTTTCCTTCTCCTCCTGTAGTCTGCCTTTGGCCATTTCACTGCTTATTATTCAAGGCCTAGGGAGAAAAGGAGAGAAGCTGAAATTCAGATCAGTTAATTAGGCTGTTTGGGAGCAGCGCTGAAAAAGGTTGGATGTGGTAGGTGAAAGCAATAGTTAACTGGTGGTCTGAGATCTATAGCTCTCAGGAACCCAGCCTTCCCCACTTCACACCCCTAAACCAATGGCTTCCCAACATATGAAGCATATTTTTAAGCTCATTTCAGCCTCATAGGGTTTGTTTCTTTGTTCTGGAGTACATATCAAACCATATGTCCCGATTTTGGGTTTGGAAAATTTGGTCCCTGTACTAACCGAAGAAGTAGTGGGGCGGGAGGGCCTACTTCTCTAGAGTAATTTCATGGTCCTAAGGAAAGAATTTAACAGTTTATTTTCTGAAATTGGTTCAAGGAACATTCCTTAAGTGAAAAAATTCAATCAAGAATAACATTACTTACATTTTGGAGGAGGATTTTTAATACAGAACTTCCATCTGTGATATATTTAAATTCTAGGCCTCAGGCAGCAATTTTGGTAAAGGGCCTCCGTTAGCCTTTATTCGATGCAAAATAAATAGTCCATTCTGAGGGGTGAGGCCTTTCTCTCAGCTCGCCACCCCTGCAAAAGCGAACACTGGCTTCTGCCACTCCTGAGACCATACCTGCTACTTTTTTCGCCCCCCGCCGCACAGCAAACTCCGTTATTGACATTAAAATCTTTGTCACAACTTCAGTTACTTGAATTATTTTGTAAGAACCTGTGTCTAGCAGAAAAAGTGGACGGTGAGCTACCCAAAAGGAAAGCCTGCAGTCAATAAGCGGAAAGCTGTCAATACCGAAATACAATACTCTTGATCTCGTTTTGACGCCTTAACAAAGACAGGTTTTGCGATTTAGGACCGCTCAGCCATCTTGCCGGAACACATTAAAAGGGCAGTCCTCGACCTGCTTACTGCTAGGTACTTCAGCACTGATTTCTAAGTTGCTGCACGAATCCCAACATCTTTCACGACAGAGGCCTACCGCGTTTCAGCTGTCAATAAAGACCCACACTCGAGAAACGGAGAGAACGCGCAAGTTTTACACGCACACTTTATTAGGCATCCTTCCAATCCTAAAAGCGGGGCAGGTTCCACTACGTAAAAGCTGAAAACTTTATTTCTCATTTTTCCTGACCTGTAGCACGCGTGGAGCCTCTGGGTAAGTGCTTGTCTAAGACGAAGGCCCGCTCTTTAATGGCTGAATGCATACATTGAACAGGACATGGTGGATTAGCTGCTCTGAGAATTGCCTTTAAAAAAGAGTAAAGTGAAAAATAGACAAAGAAATCTATAACCTTAGCCGTCTTTCATATTTGTTTTGCCTGTTCTGGAACCAGCCCTGAGCCGCGGACAAGGATACTGAAAAGATGCACCTGAAACAGTATCTGCGGGCGGGCTGCATTGGCCGAGCGGCGTTCTTGCTGCTTCCCAGCGGCGAAGGCAGCGGCAGCCACAGGGAAGCCGGCGCGAGCCTCCCCGGCAGCGGCGGCGGCGGCGGCGGCGGCGGCGGCACCGGCACCAGCGCAGTTTCCCCTCTCCCCAGCCCTGACTCTACGCGCACATGCGCACTGCGCCCGCAGCCCTGGACCATTTGTCAGGACTACTCGTGAGACGGAGAAAAAAAAAAGAGAAAATTTGGGGGTAAGAAGCGGTTGATCGGATCTAATCTCTAATTAATCTGAAGATCTGCCCGTGCCAAAGCCATTCATTGATTTTTCTGGGTGAGGATGAAAGTTAAGAGACCTACGGAGAGAAGGAAGCGCACCCTCGTCTTGTGAAACAGATCAGGGGAGGGGAAAGGACAGAAGGGGTTTCTCCCCCACTTCTCTGCGCCTCTGGGAAAGAGGAGAAAACTTAATCCCGGGGAAAAAAAGTGGGCAAGTGACTCGGAAAGGGCTGGAGGGGGAGTCTCCGGGCATCTCACTCTGAAGTAGTGAGTGCGAGTGTGAAAGAGGAACAAAAGAGAGAGAAAAGAGAAAGGAAAAAATGGGGGGAGGAGAGACTTGTATTTTTTTCTTTGCGCGCACACGGGGAAGGGTGTGGGGGGCCGTGCGGAAGGGAGCCGGGGCGAGGCGGCCGCGTCGGGCTCTCGCCGGCGCGCAGGCGGCGGGATGCGTGTGGGCCCCCTCCCCCGCGCCCCCCGAGCTTGTCACTTGGGTCGCTTTCATGACACCGGGCGCGGGGCGGGGGAGCGCGGCGGCGGCGCCGGGGTGCGTGCCCGAGTGGGCGCCGCGGAGCCGCAGCCCGGGCGGCGAGCGCGGCCGCCGAGGCGGGGGGCGCCGGCGGGGGCGCGGGGGCGGCCGGGGCCGCGGATCGGTGCGGCGGGAGGCGCGAGCCCCGCGCGCCGCCCCTGCGGCCCCCTCCGCCCGTGTGGCCTTTGTGCCGGGCGCGCACCGGAGAGCGAGCGAGCGAGCGGGCGAGCGCGAGAAGTACAAGTACGGGAGACCGAGGCAGTGGGAAAAGAGGCCGGGCCACTTTCTGCCCGCTCGGGCTGCGGAGAATGGACTGGTTGAATGTGCAGGCGCGTCTGCCCGGCGTGTGCTGTGTGTGTGCGCGGCGGAAAGGCCTCCCCGACTCCCGCCGCGCACACGCACACTCACACGCACGCACACACTCGCGGACCCGCGGCGGGGCTCGGCGGCCGAGAGTTTGCGTTCGCTTCCTCGCCGCCTCCCCCTTCCCGACCGACTGTGTGAGAATTTCATATAGATCGGCTCCAATTTCCGCCATTTTGGGAAAGTTGCACAAAAATAAACCCTCCGGTTTATTTCTGCCCGAGGCAGGAAAGTGCTTCGGGAAGCGAGGCGGCGCGGGCCCGCGGCGGCCGTCCGCGCGGGGGAGGGCGCGGGCCGCGGGCCGGGGCCGGGAGCCCGCGCCGTCGCGGCGGTCGCCCCGCGCCCTGCGGTGCCGCGCCGGCCCGGTGCGGGCGCGGGCGTGTGTCGGGCGGCGGCGGCGGCGGCCGAGGCGGCGGGCGGGGAGGGCGGCGCGGGGCTGCCGTGCCTGCAACTTGTTTACGCCGCCCTCATATCGGGAGGCGGCGAGGGTCCGAGGCGGGGCCGCGCCCGCCTCGCGCCGCGTGCGTGTGCCATTCCGGAATAATGGGTTTTGCACACTCGCGTCCTGGGCCCGGCGGGCCGTCCTCGCGCCGCGGCGGCCGGGCGGGGGGAAGTAGAGGCCGGCGGGGGTGGGGATCGGGAAGCGCAGGAGCCGGGGCATCCGCCGCGCGCCCCGCGAGCTGCTGGGGGGGGGAGAGGGAGGCAAACTTGTGAGCCCTGGAGGCGGGTCGGGGGGGGGGCGCGGGGTACAGGCGGGGGCAGGGCGCAACTTTTGGGCCAGTGGTAAAACTTTAATTACCTTTAAAGCAAAAAGGCCCCAGGAGCTCCCCCCCCCCACCCCTTTCTGGTCGAAGCACGGCCCACAGCGCGACCGTGAGAGAAAGTTTAAAAGCGGGCGGTTTCCTCCTCGCCTCCCCGCGGAGGGGTGGGGGGATCTGTTTGTCCGTCTGCGCTCGGAGAGAGGTGGGGGTCACGAGCCGCCCTCCGGGGTCGCGAAGCCCGGGGCTCTTACCCCACCCTTCCACGGGGAGACGAAGGTAAACGCCGCTTCGGTTTCCCTCCCCCCCCCCCGCTTCCTTTTCCTCCCCCTCCCCGCCGATTTTTTGAGGGGACCCAAAAAACGGAGTCTCTTTCCTTATGCAACTTCCTCGGGCGCTGTGAACGCGGCCCTGCCCCCTCCCTGCATCCCTCGGCCCGCTCCCTTCCCACCCCGGGGCCACCAGAAAAATGCATTCGAGCTCATTCAAAGTGCACGGGAACAAAAATAGATTTTTAATTGTTCTAAGTTTAAGTTAAGGGAAACTGAGATGAGAAATAAGAATTTGGGTGGGGGGGGGAGCGGCTGGGGCGAGTGCGTCGAATTTTAATTTTGATTTTCCTAGAGCGGTGCTGGTGGTATCTTTATTGGTTTGGGGAGCCCGAGAGTCTCTGTACTGGCTACCTCGGTCGCGTGGATTTTTGCGCAAGTTTTTAGAAAAACACTGACTCGAGTAGAGCATTTCTCCGGAAAGTTTCAAGTGCAGCAAAATAGCGAACGTGCAAAACTGGCCAAGGGGAGACCTCTAGTGGTTAAACGCATCTTTAAGTTCGGAAGGCCGAGAGCAAAGTTTGGCCTTTACTTGTAGCTACGTAGTCGCTTCAGACGTGGAAGTAATTAGACGACCTGTGCCGGCAGCGAGATATAGTGTGAAAGGATGCTGATCAGAAATACAAGGTTTAGTAAATCGGAGAGCAGATGAGTTTTGAGGACCCGGACCCTGTAACTTACATCTCTCATTAATTATATGGGAAAAAAACACTTGGCTTTTATTCTGGGATTTGAGAATGTCAGTCCAGGGATTAGAAACAATTGTTCGTTTTTACATTTATTGCTTTCTATACCTTTGATCAACTTTTAATCAGGAGTCACAGCGGATAATTTCATTTTGAATGTTAATAAAAACACAAAGTGCAATATGTGTTTAAAACTTTGAAAGAGATGAAAAAGACCTTTGGTTGAAATTTGCCTTTTATATGAGCGGGTCGTTTTATTCTCTAATAAATATAACTTAAGGCTAGTATTTAGTTTCTTAACTGCAGAGTTACATACAGTCGTAAAATAGTCTCTTAGTTGTAACAGTGTAATTTTGTTTCACTGGGAAAGACATTATTTCTGAATACTTTGTATAATTTGTGATTTAAACGCTTAAATATATGGACAAAAGCTGCTTACATAATAGCTATTCTTTTGCCAGTGTGTGTTCTGTAAACTTTAAAGATAAAAGCAATGAGAGAAATGAGAGTTGAGTCCAGTGATCCCTGTCCCTTTAACCTGCTAGTCATACAATGGGAGAGACTTTACTGGGAGAATTTGGGATGGGGGATGATATGAATGATAAAATCCATTTCCCCTCATCTGGAACTAGTTTGTTTTATTTTAATCACTAAGTGGTATTGTGTGAAATTATGCAATAAGTCAGTGATTCAAAATTTAAACTTATTAATTGTGGATTGTGGGTTTGAAGTCGTCTTTTTTCTGACAATGCTTTGATTTTACTTTTTCGCTCTTTGAATTAGTGCTAGACCTTTGGGAGAAGTCTTGAGGGTAGACGGCAATCCTAAAGACCACCACACAGTTCCTTCTTCACTGCTCCTAGGTAAGATTTGCTTGGTGAAACAAATTGCCTGATGTACTTGCCAGTGTTAAATGCTGAATTTGGGGATCAGGAAGGAGAGTGTGGGACAAGGTGGGCAGAAAAACATCATTGTGTGGGGGCTGCTTGGAAGGCATCCAGGTCTTGACACTAAGTGTGATTGAGTGAGAAAAAAGCATTAGGAAAAGTTACAGCCTTGTCCTGGATGATCTTTGGACTGGCTCTTTTACTAGATTCTTAATTCACATTTCAGTTGCACCTGTTTTCTACTGAAAGGAAATAGTTTTATTGTTTGGAATTGAAAAAATGGGAAAACTAGAACGAAGCAATTGTAAATTAATATAATTATATAAGTACACAGTGATATGGAAGATCGTGATATGGAACTTTGGTAAAATTTTGTAGGTGAAATTTACTGAGAGCTTTGGGGTATTTAAATAACTTAGCTCCTGTGGCTTAGATCCCACATGGGCTGACTTGTGCCAAATATCATGTCATAGGGTTATAGCAAATTTCCCATGTGTTAGCATAGACTTGTCGACTTTGACCATAATTCCACAAGAACTTCAGCTGTTGTCCAGTAAGATCCTTTTGGTGAATTTGGAGGGTGCTAACTTTTCTCCAGTAATCCAGGGCCTCCTTTCAGGGCAAAGATCGTTCTCAGGCAAAGGGAGCAGCCCTCTCCTGGTACAGCATCAAAGCACATTGTGCTGCTCTTGTGCTTTCTACTATTTATACCTTTTTTCTTTTATTTTTTCTCCCCCTTTAATCTTTCTCTCTCCTTTTCATGTTTCTTCTCTGTCTTGAGTGTTAAAGGAGTCGCTAGTTCTTGTTTGGCAAAACCAAAGAAAACAAAGTAAGTTAATCTTACCTTTTATGAATAGGACTAATAATCCTCATTGGGCCACCTTATAACCAGAGTAGGTGTGGTCTGTATGTCAACACTGTATAATTGCTAATATGAAAATGACTGTTAACAGGAGTTTATTGTTATTTTCTTCTTGTGGATGGTCTCGAATAGTGTAATAAGCAAAGTAAATAGATGTGGTCCATGTGGATGGTGCAGCAGAGACAATGGGGCAAGAACAACTCCAAGATCATGCCAATGGAAGTAAGGTTCAAGCAGAGTAAAATGTGTTTCCTAGGATGGTGCGTTTCATGTTTCGAGGTGCTGAGTGGAAGACAGTGGTTATTTGTCTTCATCTGGGGAGTCATGTGGCTGTGGCTAGCGTGCTAGGGTGGGAGTCAGAAGATGGTTGAGCCGCTAAAGGTATCACCTTGTGTAAGTCACTTTTCCTCTTTCTGCCTAGACTTCCCCATCTAGAAACTGAAAGCAACAGTGCTTGCCTTGCTTCTTTTGTTGAAAAGATCAAATAAAATCAGGTTTTGAGAGCTATGAAGAGTGAATTCAGGTGTTTGGCTGTCACGTTACCATTTTACCTTGGGCGGGCTTTGTGAAGGGCAGGACGTAGGTTGTCTAGGGCAGAACAGAGTGATTTAATTCCTGGCTAAAATTATTAGATTGGTTTCTGGTGTATATATTATATGGACTTGTCATAATACTTGCAGGGGAATTTCTTTTCTTGAGGAAAAAAGCAGTTTATCTTTTACAGTATTGGCTCCCTGAGGGGAGGGACCATGTTTGAACATGGTGCTGAATCCAAACTAAAATTTATTCATCCCAAACTAGTCATTTCATAGGAGTAAGTGAAATAAATACTTCAAATTTAAAATGATGCCTGATTGTGGAAACGGTAAGGCGGTGAAAGGAGAGGGGTTGGTGTGAGGGGAATTCGTGTGCTGTAATTAATACTTTAGTTGTGTGAGTCTGCTGGGAATGAGGATGAGAAAATAGGTAACTGGAGTGGTAAAGATTTAAACTCCAGGGGCCAGAAAATGGGTCCTGCACACAACTGTGGATTTAGGGAAAAGTCCATGGGTTTTCTAGATTCCTTTGCTACTTTATTCTAATTACAGCCAATTATATATTATCTAGATAGAGAACAAAATACTGTCATTGTTTTCAATTTGATGATACTGAACTTGACAAACCCTGGCAAGTTTTAGTTCATCTCTCTTTTCCTATAAATTATCCAATCAATGTTCTAAGAATCCAAAAACCCAATAGTGGAGGAGAGAAGAAATATATGTCTGTTTAATTAGTCCCTAAGTAACTGAGGGCTGGTTCTTGAATAATTCCACTTGTATGTTTGGCAGTGTCTTTCTAAGAAATATATATTTCAACTAAGACTGTTTATAGTAGATACAGTTAGGATGAGACATTTATAAGAGAAGTTACTTATGTGGTGTGGGACAAGGGTACCCTTCGGGTCCCAAGGATGGGTAACCTGAGTGATCCCTCTAGCAATGTTTCTACTAGTTACTTAACCAATTTTTTTTATTTTTTGTTTTTTTTTTGTTTTTTGCTGAGGAAGATTAGCCCTGGGCTAACATCTGTGCCGGTCTTCCTCTATTTTGTATGTGGGTTGCTGCCACAGCATGAGTGGTGTGGTTCTGTGCCCAGGATCTGAACCTGTGAACCCAGGCCTTCTAAGTGGAGTGTGCCAAACTTAGCCAGCAGGGCACAGGGCTGGCCCCACTCGGCCAGTTTTTTATTGAGATCTTACAGTGCTGAACACTGAAAGACTAGGTCTTTGCTCTTGAGGAGTTCCCTAGACTCTTACCCCAGGGGTAAGCACAACTCTGCTAATAAGAGTATCACAGTTCTCTTTATGCCAGTGGGAAAGAATGAGGCTCCAGCACTCTTGGGAGCCAGTGAGCCAGCAAACATGGATTCCTAGGTTAACAGGTGCAGGACCATGACATATAATTGTGTACATAGAGCACCAAATATTACATCCCCTTTTTAATGCTTAGCTTTCAGAAATGACTAAGAAGCTCTTTACCCACTGTCAAGGAATGCCTGAATTGTATTTCTACCAAAGGTGATGGATTTGGGCTGATTCTCCCTTCCTTTGGCTAATGTGTTCACAAAGGTGACTTTCTGGCAAAGGTCTGTTCTACCACTTGCTACTCTCTTGCTACTCTCTGCCTACTTGCTGCTACCAGAGGACTCTTTCCTCACCACGATTTGAGGGATATTGTATTTAAAGAGAACAATTTATTTGAGAGACACTGTGTTTAGAGGACTATTTATACGTGTATAGTTAGATAGGATGTCTTGAAGTTCAGAACATCTGCGGAAAATATATTTTTTAAGGAGCTTCATTATCCAATGGGAATATTCTTGGGTTATCTCTTTACTCTCTTAAGTTAAATTATTGCAGGACATGTGTGGATACGAGTCAGTAGTGGCAGATTATGAACTAGTTTGTGTTGATTGCAGCAGCTATGCAGCAGGTGGCTGAAAGCAAAAGACCAGGAAAGGGTACCCTTGAAATATCACTAAGTTTGATTTACGACGTCAAATTGGGAAAGATCTTTAAGAAATCCCCATTTAGGAGACAGAATGGTTTGAGGAAAGAACAAGGGCTTTTGAGAAGAACTTCATTAAGTTGGGTTATCTTGGATGAGGGAACTTCTTCTGATGAGCCTTTCTTTCTTTCTCAGAAGTGGACTTAGAATTAATAACTTGGGTGATGATTGGAAGAATTACATGTGATTATTGTAATTGTTAAGTGCCTTCTGTATTAGTCTTTTTGTAAGTCAGTGTTTGTGTCAGCCAACAAATATTTGTTGAGCATCTGTTTTGTGTAAGTCTTTGTTGGGGAGTGCTTCACGTAATCAACACTTAGAACCGAATGAATGAATATGTTGGGGTTACAAACGAATGAAGAGCCATCCTTGGCCTCAGCGTGTTTATAATCTAGTTGAGGAGATAATGCATGCACACAGTGGTAATTAACAAACAAAGTCATGGTTCAGTGGTAGCCAATGGTAGAGAGAAATGCAGTAGGTGCTATGGTGGGACAGCCGTGGTACTTTTGTTCCAAACATAGGAACCTGAGAGATAGGGTGTCCTCTGCAAAACGCTGTGCAGTGTTGATAGATCAGGTGTCATTGTACATTGAGTGCCTTGTGAATGTCAAGGATTAGGCTAGGTACTTTATATTCATACATTTGGTCATTCATTCATCCAGCAAATACTCACTGCTGTCTCATGCCCAGGTGCTGTTCTCGTCACTTAGTGTTATCGCTAATATTTTCACTGACCTTGAACATTTGGTATTGTTATTTCTTTTAGAGCAAACCGCTGCTCAGAGATACTTAGTAACTTGTTTGAGTTCAAATCATGCAGTTGGAAGGGGTGGGACCGGGGAGAATGATACTGGTTTATGATTGTTTTGTCATGTCTTTAGGTTTCTGCTTTTCCAAATAGTAGTTCCTGGGATATTTCTAAGAAAACATATTCCCAGAGGAATGTATTTGCTCTTACACTTTGGTTGACTAAGATGAGCAATGGTGAACAGGCATTAGAAAAAATGATGGGAAGAAAACTCTCTTCACTTTCACCGTTTTTTCCCCTATTTTTAAATCAAGAATTAGGAAAGGACTTGGGGCCAGCCCAGGGGGGTAGTAGTCAAGTTTGCACGTTCCACTTTGATGGCCCAGGGTTCACCAGTTTGGATCCCGGGTGTGGACCTACGCACTGCTGGTCAAGCTATGCTGTGGCAGGCGTCCCACATATAAAGTAGAGGAAGAGGGGCACGGATGTTAGCTCAGGGCCAGTCTTCCTCAGCAAAAGAAAGAGGATTGGTGGCAGATGTTAGCTCAGGGCTAATCTTCCTCAAAAAAAAAGAATTGGGAAAAAACTAATTATTGAGTAATACTGAAAAGAACACCTTGGTCTAGCTCGTGGCCTCGAAAGGGTCGCAAACTGTTCACAAAACATTACTCAGATTAGGTGTGGGAATTACTGGGCTTATTTATAAAAAGGTTTCATTTGTTCTTTGTAGGAAGAGACCTAATGAGGCAGTAGGATTAGTTATCAAAAAATGTAAATCAATCAGTCAATATAAAGGAAAAGGATGGGACCTAAATTTACTGAAATGAACTGAGAATACAATGGAATTTACTCAGAAGCCAGGATTGTAAAAGGAAAGAAGAAAATTTAAATGAGGGCTAGAGATAATGATGGAGAGAAGCTGGGGGCAGAGGGAATAGGAAGTGCTAGGCCTGAAATCAAAAATGAGGACAGGGAATGTGACCAGGAGTATACTGAGTAACAGTGCTGTAATTACTGATGTTCTGCTCTTTAACCAGAGGACCGTGCCCACGTTTACAAAATGAAGTGAAGAGCTCTTTTGGTTCATTGGGTGGTGCTGTGTCGCCATGGGAGTTATATAACATCCCTGTTCTACGAGGTATGGTCCATCAAGAGAGCTTTAGTCTGACTTAGACGGATGCCGTTGCATGCATTGATTATGGGGTAATGGACTGTGTCTCCTTTCTTGAGGCTCTATTATCCAGTAAATTTTTTGAAGCACCTGCTGTGTGCCAGGCCTTTTCAAGATTGGACCATAGCTTTATGTTATGTGTAATTTTATGGAATTAAACTGGTTCTGTTACTAGAACGCTTTGAGTAGGCTTGCTCAGGCACCAAAATCAGCTGTTTATTTTTCCCCATCTGTTACACTGATTGAACCCTGAACTGGGAATTGAAATTCCGGAGTGGTCAATCTGGTCTGGTTGTTAAATGATCTAAATAATTCACCCTTTTGGTTTGTGGTCTTATTTGGTGGATTTGAGGCCTGGCTATTCGATCTCTTGATAAGAAGGTTAACTACAAATGGTTATCAAGATAAGCTCATAGAATTCTGTGAGAGAAATATAATCTGGTCAAATCTAGTTTATTACATGCCAAAGAGAAATCAAGTGTAAATCTTTTAATTTTAGTTCTATGTTTTATAAAAATATGAAGCTGAATTTTAAAAATAGTACTGTTAGCGTTTTGTGAAACAATTATGAAGGGAAATATGAAAACAGAACATGATACTACTTTTAGTTTTTCTTTTTTAATGTAAGTGCATATTTTGCATAAGCATAGCAATATCTGTGTCAGGCAGGTTCCTGTTCTTTTTATGCCCTTTGAATCCCTCTGATGGGTGTGCAGTTTCTATTATTACTCTCCTCGTGTAGTGTGTTGATGATACGATAGCCCTTTTAAGGATGTTTCTGCCTTAAATTGACATAGCTTACAGTCTGTATATTGAAAGTGAACTTCAAATAAAAAGCGTTTGATGAGAGTATATTAACTATGCCATAGGCCTGCTCACGTCAGGTTGCGATTTCATTTTCTATGTACATTTTTTTTCTTGAAAGGCATTTTTCGTTTTCTGTTCCTCCTTTAGAGGAAGTAAGTAGGTTAGGCCACAGAATCTCAAATAATTCATCCTTCTTACTGTAACAAACGGAAGGGCAGGAAGTGGAGATTTTGAAGAGGTTGCCATTCGTGACTACCCTTTGCATATAATCTCCATGGAGAAGATGTAGCAAATTAGATAAACCATTGCTACTTTATATTGGGTGGTTCTCCTTAAAGTGTGGCCAGTAAATACAAGGGGAGTGTGTTTAAGAAAATATCAGTAAGAAGGAACCATCCTGATGACCGATTTCATATTTAAAGAAAGCAGAGCTTATTTACCATTCAGGCGTCTTCTGTATAAGGATAGATGTGGACAGAAGACCTAGATTTTCAAGGATTTGTTCTTGAGAATCTTGATGCTACTGAGATTTACGTTCTCACGTTGAAATAATCTCAAGTTTTGCCTGCCTAAAATCTATGAATTTGGGCCCTTGGGGCAAAATTTCACATCTCTCCATAGCAGATCAGAGTTCTTCTCAGGCAGGGTGAGTAGACTATCAAAGCTGCTATCTGTCAGGCTTGATTTGAAAGGAAAATTTTTCTTTGTAACGATATGTGTTTGTCGAGAGATGCTTCAAGTGTGAGTTCAGGTTTTTCTCTTGTCCTTATTGAATAAGCCTGTTTAAGAGGTTTGAATTTAACTTCTTTTGATGTGTTCTCCACTGACACTTAAATGAGGAGAGTTTCTTGGAGCGGTAATGTTATGCTTCTGCCAAAGAGGTAAATAAATACTTAGCAGCTTAGTTGTTAGTTAGAATTTTCACTGGAGAATATGATATAGATGGACAAATGAAGATCTTCTCATTTCCCCTCTGCCCAAACCCCGCCCACAGTTAGTCTGTTGCATTTTCCCCTCATCTTTGATTCATTCATTTGATAAATTTTGTTGATACCTACCATGGATATTCACAAGAGATAAAGAAATGAATAGAGCAAGTCCCTTTCCTTCAAAGCCTTCTCTAAGTGGATGATCATGCTACAATGTAATAAATGTGTTTATTTAATACAATGTATTAAATTGAGGTATAGATCCTGTCTTCTCAGCCCATCTTCTCCTGGCATCTCACATACTATACTCTAGTTCTCATACAGAGAAAGACTCTCAGCGTAGTCCTCCTCGTCCCCTTTGGGGAGGATCCATAGCTTTCGTCTCTCTCTCTCTGCTGGCCTCTTGCTGCAGTCTCTCACTGTGCTTTCTGTTCGCCTCTGTGCCAGCTTTCTTGAACACAGGTCCTGGAACCACAGTTGGTATGTGAGGAAGCTTTTATGCCTCCTCAGCAGGAAGGTCACCAATGACCCAGTCTTGGGTTGTTATTCAGAGATTATGTCCTTCTTACTTTTTTGGTTGTTAAAATGTTCTTTTCTTTATAAGAGCTTGGCAAAACGAATGGTTGTTGACTTTGCCTCAGTTTCAATTCATTTTGAAATTTTCCTTGTCCATGAAATCCCGGAGTCTTACCACGTTCTTAACACCCCGCTTTTCCCTTGCTTCACCTCTGGACTCCTGAGGCATCAGATAGGCTTCATGGCCTTTGCACGGTTATCATTCCTCTGCGCGGGTTGTGCTTCAGACATCTGGTGAACCGCTGCTTGGAGGGAATGCGGACACCGGAGAGCAGCTCGTTTTCTTTTCTTGAGAATAGCTGTAGCTGTTGTGTACCGTGTCCATTATGTGCAAAACACTTTAACATGCATCATTAAAATTTTTTTTACTTCTCTATGAAGTAGATGTTCCAGTTCCAGTTTACAGATGAAGGAGCCTAAGGCTTGAGAGCCTGTGCTTTTCACCACTACACTGGATCAGCTTCTGTGTCGACTAAAATATAACGTGTTGTGCCCTGTGGTAGCGTCTGAGGGGCACTGTCTTGGGAGGTAAAAGTCTGTTTCTTGGCTGAGTGACCTCAATTTTCTCATCTGTAAGATGTTATCAGTCTTAAGAGGTAGTTGTGAGGGTCAAATAGGCTGGTATTGGTGAGGTCCTTTAAAATGACAAAGCCTGGGAGAAACCTGCTCCCGTGTGCCTGTATCCCTTTGATGTGTGTTAGACTTGTTACTTTTGTCTGATTACCCCTTTGTGGCCTTGTGTTTGTGGGTATGTGAATTCTCCCCTATAGGCTGTGTATGTCTGGCATCATGAAGGTACAAAGGAGGCCACCAGAAAGTAAATCAGAAAACTGTAGACAGGTCTTAGGAGGCGGGGTCCTGTCTTCTCAGGATCACTTTCTCCCCCTGGACTTAAAGGAGTACTGTCCAGAGGGAATTCCCCAGGATTAGGCCTACAAATCTCAACAGTTGGATGCGGGCTGGGGACCAGGCCAGAAGGTAGCATCCCTGTAGGTGACTGGAACCTGGAGATGAAGAGATTCTGTCTTGTAAAACACTACCTATTTTCATGTTATTTCTGAATTTATTTTCCAGAGCATAGCATTTCCAGAAGTGGGGAGGGGGGTTCCGTAGACCTCGATGTACTGTGATGCTAGAGTCGCTTTGGCCCGGGCAGCATTTGGCACATGGCCGCACCGCTGCTGATGTGCACGGTCCGTCTCCCAAAGACCCCGCGGCTATTACCCATCCTTTCACCACAGAAGTTTTTGCCATGGGACATGAATAAATGTTCTCCTAAAAGTTGTGTTTTTGGAGGCAGACTTTGGGAATTGTTGCCCTAGCCTTTCCTCTAGTCTTGTTTAGATGCCTTAGCCTGACCTACGATGTGTGATCGGACCAGGGTGGTGGCAAAGAGAACCTGGCCTTCAGGCCCACCTCCCTCCCCATATGGTAAACGCTTCTCCATGACTTCAAAGGTAGTATTGTTCTATTAAGAAAACTAGCAGTGTTTTCTGGAGCCGTGTGAATATGAAATATCATTATTAACAATAAAACATCTACTTTTTTTCTTTTTAAAGATTGGCACCTGAGCTAACAACAGTTGCCAATCTTTTTTTTCTTTTTCCTGCTTTTTCTCCCCCAAATCCTCCCAGTACATAGTGGTATATTTTTTAGTTGTGGGTCCTTCTAGTTGTGGCATGTGGGACGCCGCTTCACCGTGGCCTGACAAGCGGTGCCATGTCCGCGTTCAGGATCTGAGCCAGCGAAACCCCGGGCCGCCGAAGCAGAGCGCGGGAACTTAACCACCCAGCCACGGGGCCGGCCCCTAAAACATCTACTTTTATATGGTGATCTTGACATCTAGTGATAGAGATTTGAATACAAGTGGCCTACCACAAAAAAGGCTATTGAAATGAAATTAAATGAGAGGGAAAAAAAGACACGTAATTTTTTTAAGGTCACTGAGCAGCTCCCATGAACTCGAATAATTGTTAAACTAGATAATTATAATAAAAAGTTAACATTTTGTTGACTCTTGCTATGTGATAGGTGCTGTGCTAGGGTACTACCTGGCTTATCCCAAAGAATCCTCACCATTGCCCAATGGGGACAGGCTCTGTTAGTCTCCACACTTTACAGACGGGAAAATTGAGACTTCAAGAGATTAATTGGTCCAGGGTCACAGAGTAGGTAATTGTCAAACTTTGGAAAGTGAATTGAAGAGGAGGAAAGGAAGGAATTGATTTAGGAGAAGGTGAGAGATGGCGAGTTTTGAGGACGGTCCATGAAATATTTGATTTGCGCCTATGAAAGGATGACAAGGAGCAGGGTGGGTTGGGGTGGGGAGGCTCAAAGCAGTTTTATATGCCAATTAATGAGGTGTTTAGCAGAAGGGAGAGGCCTTTTAGATGATATTACCGAATAATGACATTTAGGACTTTTTGTGCGTCACAATGTGCCAGATACAGCATTTGGAAAGTACACGGAAAGCCGACTTCAGTTGTTGGTATTAAAGTGGGCATCACAGCCGCAAGGCATTGGATTCCCACAGTGGAGGCTACCTTCTCATTGCTGTATATCTCAGTGCTGTCTGTCTTCTACATGCTTATCATTTTTGTTTGGTTCATGATAATGATTTCAGGGTTAGCATTCCTGACGCACTCTTTACAAAAG